AAAAAAAAAAAAAAAAAAAAAAAGAGGATGTGGAGCGCAAAGATATCTACACCCCCATTTTTTTTATTTTTTTTTTGGGACTTTTTTCGCCGACGAAAATAAAATCCGCGGGCCGAGTTGAATCGCGTTGTAACGCGGTATAACGCGGAGTTGAAACGGGGATTCAATAGGAGTTGAACCGTTCAACGGGAAACCCCTGTTGAATCCAATTTCGGACACACAGCCTGTCATCACTCGAAGCAGATCGGTTAATCGACGAGCAGCCAATATGGCTGCTAATGTGCAAAACCCGAATCCGCAACAGAATGCTAATCAACCAAATCCTAATTAACCCGCCCCACGAGCACGGGCTCCCATGACGCCACCTGATCTCTATCTATTCGATCCAGCACATCATCTCGCAAAAGCATGGCTGGCCACACTTAGAGCACAACAGTATGATGACAACGAAGCGCAGATAAACATTCCTGCTCGATTAGGAGGGGACGGTCATCATTGGTTTAGTACCTATGTATGGGTTGATCTTCCGACCTTCGAACGGGATTTTCTGAATCGATTTGATTATGTCCACCCAGAGCAAGCGCTGTACATGATCAAAGACCGAGTACAAAAACCTCTCGAGTCTGTCGCAGAGTATCGAAACCGGTCCTACCGAATGTTTGTGAAAACCGAGCGAGGCGAACAAGTCGGGAGGGATTTGTTCATTGATGGGCTTCGCAGTCGAACGATAAGGGCTAAGTTGTGAAAGCAATTTTCCCCCATCACTCACACGCTGCAACAAATCATGGCTGTTGCGGAAGAAATGGAACGGAAGTTCGCCGTGAACTTCGTGGAAGGAGAAGATTATTCTAGAGAAGGAGATTCATCCGAACTCGCACGAGCGAGAGCCGAGCTGGTTGCGTTGCAGAACAAGTTTGAAAATATGGGATTTGTGTCTGGCCCCATCACCTATCTGGAGCAGATAGGTCCAAAACGACCAAACCCAAGTGAGATCCCGAGTGTTCCTGTTCCTGTGATACCAACACCCGTAAAGGGCCGTACGGGCGTTACCTCCGCTACACGTTGAAAACCCGACAAGAACCAATGAGTCCACTGCTATCTTTGAGCTGACCAAAATGTTAATTAACCTAATTCAGGAAAGCAAAAAGGAGCAGCGAGAGCACAATGCTCGGTTGGAAGCCATGATGAGGAACATGCAGCCCATTGCGGTGCGTGCCCCTCCGATTCAGCAAGGATTAGCCCCGGAACCCGCTATCGGGGGAGCCGCAAACAATCTGAACGTCTGTTATGCATGTCACCAACTAGGACATCTAGCCCGTGATTGCCCTCACCGGCCTCCGCAACAACGAGTCAGGGTCGCGCCGATGGCGGCGGCCCCCATCACTAACGGACCAGGACGAGTAGGAGCCTTGATGGAAGAAGTAGAGGGTGGGGGAAGTGTGTTAGCTACCACAGAAGAAGTCGTTGAGCTCATCCCGCTAGATCAGTACGTATCGCTTGGGTATCCCGGGCTTGGAATGATCGGAATGATCCGACCGGCCGCGGAACAGAAAGAAGTGGCGGAGTGGCGACCGTCTCCAGGCGAGATGGGGTCGGGAGGACCCACCTTCGTCACTGGGGAAATCGATGTGCTTAACATTGTTCGAGCCTTGGACCATCGGATTCCACTTCCGATCGGCCACTTGCTCATGATCTTAGAACAAGCCAATGAGCGAATGCTACAACACTGTAAGGCGAACCGGAAACGATTCACCCTAACCCGAGCAACGAACATGAAGAAGGGACTTACACCAGAGGAAAATACGGCAAGAACTTCGGATCCGATTCGGGTAGGGTTAATCCAAAAAGACGATCATTTCCTACGAATCAAACCCATCCCGTGGAAATCCGCAGAATGCGATATCGAAATTTGGGGAATTTCGTACAGTGCAATCATCGATTCGGGAGCTGCGGTTCTGGCTATCTCACTGAGAGTGGTTGAGAGGGCAGGTAGGAAAAACGATCCGATCATGCTTTCCGAGAAAGACCAGCTCGTTTAGGCCGACGAAGAAAAGATAAAAACAGTAGGAAGGATGACCAATGTTGCTTTCCGATTAGGAAAGGTACACGCACTGAAGGATATCGTCGTGCTAGATGTAAATACCTACGACGTTCTATTCGGACTTCCTGCTCTTGTGGCATTACGAGCAAACCTGGATTTCGAACCACGGTCGATCGTCCTCTGAAATACGGGAGGAAAGCCCTATGCTGTGCCTATGAGACTAACCCTTCGTACCACCATCAACGCGGTCCCACGAGTTTCGCCGATGATGGCAGGAACTCTCCGTATGATTTCCTGGGAAGAATCCGCGGATGGGGAGTCATCAACAAATGAGGCGGATAGTAGTGATGAGAATGACCCAGAGATCCTGAAGCTAGTGCGACAACGCGTTTTTTATCCACCACCCACTGGCACCCAGAACAATCGCAAGAACGATGCATCTAACCAGTCGAAACATTCAAAGGACTAAGGTGATGATTTTAGGTGAACCCCTCGTACAGATTTCGAGGATGGTCGATTCTCTGGAACCCCCTCAAACCCTGTACGAAGGAATCACCCCGCTTCTCGCCAGATACAACGACAAAGAGCATTGCTGCGACATTACGGATCTACCAAGGTTCCTATTGACACCTGCAAAAGAAGTGCGACTTCTGCGCTTAGGGCAGAAGCCAAATCTTTGGAACCCCCTGGGCGCCTCGAAGCTGACTCAGACAAACTTGGAGTAAAGATCGCAACTAAAAGTATACCGTGGCAGGATGTCTGTGACGGAATCACCCCAGAAGGACACGTGGCCATTGGGGAAGAAGTCGCCCAGATGATGGCCACAGTGTTCTCCTGGCGATCAGACCATTCCTTCATTTCTGCACCCCCACCCGATGTGGCAAAACCTGCACGCACAAAACAGATAGACGTACGAATCTGGGCCCGGACCAACTTTTTGAGTTACATGTGCCACAGTACGTACCCGATGAGATTCATCGATTGATTGCGGACATTTTGACGGAATATCGAGGAGCGATTAGCGTGACAGACACTGACATTGGCTTGTCGTTAGTTATTCAACATGAAATACGGACGGGGAATCATTCCCCGATCCACTGCAAGCTGTACCGATACTCCCTAATAGAACGCAAAAAGGCTCTCGAACGAATTCGAGAATTCGAATCCAGCGGGTGGATTGCACCGGACCATGGTCCTTTCCCGTAGTGCTAGTTCCAAAGAAAAACGGATCAATTCGCATATGCATCGATTATCGGAAGCTGAATGAAATCACGATTAAAGATGTATATCCCCTCCCCCGGATTGATGATTTGTTAGATGCGATTGGTTGTGCTAATTATTTCAGTAAGTTTGATATTCGGCATGGCTTCCATCACATTCTGGTGAAGGAGGAAGATCGACCCAAGACGGCCTTTGTTCTGTTTGAGGGCACGTGGCAGTGGGTTCGGTGTCCGATGGGGATTTGTAACGCGCCTGCCACGTTTCAGCGAGCGATGAACATGACATTCCATAACTTCGTCAATAAGACGCGGCTAACATAGGGGATGATAAATTTTTGCGTGATCGTGTACATGGACGATATCGTTGTCTACTCGGAGACCTATCACGGGCACGCGCAACACATCGAGTGGACATTGGGAGCACTGCGAGACGCTGGTTTCAAAATCGCTCTCGAAAAGAGCGAATTTTTCCTTTCGGAAATTTCGTTCTTGGGCTACGTCGTGACACGTGGAGGACTGCGGCCGGACTCAAGAAAAGTTGTGGTGGTAAGAGAAGCCCCAGTTCCCACGTTGCTGACGCAGGTTCGAGCCTTCTTGGGGTTGACATCGTACTATCGCCGCAATTGCGCGACCACTAACGAACCTACTACGGAAGGACCAGCCTCTCAGTTGGGACGCGGAGTGCCAACAGGCTTTCGCGACCCTCAAGGACGCTCTGGCGACGACTCCTATTTTGATCCGACCGGATCCCTCTAAGCAGTTCATTCTTATCACAGACTGGCAACCGGAAGCTATCTCTGCTATTCTAGCGCAGAAGGGGAACGATGGTCGTGAACACGTCATCGAGTACGCGTCGCGCACGGTACCGGACGAGCGGAGGAATGACTCGGGGCCTCAAGGCGAATGCTATGCAGTAGTTTGGGGAATCCAACACTTCCATCCGTATCTCTACGGACATAAGTTTCGCCTCGTAACAGATCACGAACCTTTGCTGCCGTTGAAGAAGCTCACTAATTACACGGGCATGATTGACCATTGGGCGGTGCGACAACAAGAGTACGACTTCGATATCGTTCATCGAAAGACAGAGCGACACGGCAACGTGGACGGACTGACACGTCTGCATCGACCTGCTAAAGTACCAAAGGGCGAGGAAATTACACCGTGGAAGGAGCCGGACTTGACGAACGAGCCTAAGTACGGACAAGTGGCAGTTCTCCCACGTGGCAAGAAGCAGAACGGTGGCAATGGGTGATGGAGGTAACCCCACTACCCCTCTTTCTCCCCTCTCCTCTTCGTCTCTCCTCTCCCTGCCTGACAAATTTTCATATTTCTACGAAGCTATCTCCCACGTGTACTCGGTCTCCATGCGTCCTAATGGGGAAGGGTATGTGGAATGGATAGATTGTCGACAGTGTGTTGCACGAGCCCATGGCTCGTGCATCCAATATAGAAACAACAATAAACCGTGGTTGTGCCCCTTGTGTCGGACTGACAAGATTCCGACCGAGGCTCGCTTTTTGGATGCCACGTCAGAAGGGTTGGAAAAGACCCGGAAGTTTAGAAGGGCCGAAGTATGGATTGATATCGCCTTGATTGCCGCCTTAGTGGGTAACCCCCTCCAAGATTTCACCAAGGAAGATCGGAGGAGGGCTAACAAGAGGGTTCGGGATTATCGATGGATAGAAGGTAGGTTAGAGAAACGAAAAACAGACGGCAGCGGGATTTGGATGGTTGTACCGCATCCATTCATGAGGTATGACTGGGTTAAGACGGCACATGAAGAAACAGCGGCTCATTTCGTCGTACGGATCACGGAGTCGGCTATCGACAAAAATGAGTGGTACTGGTCCAATATCCGCAACGATGTGAAGTACATCGTCGCCAACCGTCAAGTCTGCGCCGCTGATAAAACGCCGATTCAGCCGCCAAGATCGATATTGTCGACGGTGGTTGAACGGCCATTTCAAAGAGTCAGCATGGATACTACCGACATAGTGGTGCCCTAATAGTTGTGATTATTCAGTCCTGTTAGTACTCGTCGACCATTTTTCGAAATGGATCGAGGCCTACCTTTGTCGCACGCGGCAAGCCGCTGAAATCGCGCGATACGTCAACCGTTTCCTCGGGGTGCACCAGGATACGGAAGAGATCCTGACCGATAACGGGGCTGAATTTATGGGTGAGGTACTGAGGAATCTGGTTATACATGGCGTCACCATACGGAACACTGCACCCCACATGTCACAGTCCAATGGGCTGGTAGAAAACGCGAACAGGGTGATAAAGACAGCGTTGCGACGAAATATCGCGGCACGGGATCCGAGGCCCTCGCCCGATATCGTCGACCACATCCTGGCGGTTCATCGTGGTACACCTCACGAATCGACAGTGCTAAGTCCCTTCCAATTAAGGACCAATAGCGTCGCTTGCATTTCGATACCAAGCCTCCGGGATGAATCTACACTGAACCGGCGACCCACCAGGGCCACGGCTCGGGACAAGGCCAAACGACACTTAGAATTAATGGAACGGTCCCTGCCCAGACTAGCCCGAAAACGGCACAGAATGACCGAGTTGGCCCAAAGCCGACAAGGCCGAAGCTACGAGGCCCGGAATGGGAATGCAGGCCCATGGCCCCAGTACAAATTAGGGGACATTGTGCAGGTGAGGAAATATGCTCGCTAGGGTAAGCTAGCGCCACAATTCTTCGGGCGATTCCGCGTGATTGAACTCGGACCAAACGGCGTGAATACCGTGCGGTTTGCGCCTGAGGTCTCCGGCAGCCGATCGGCTCGCCCGATCATCCGCCACGTGTCCTACCTTCGTCCCCTTCCTCCTTCCCCATCTTCGCACTCATCCGATTCCTCCTCCACCGTGTAAGAGGGCGACGACTACCTATCTCCTGTCTCTCCGTCTCCTTCCTGTTCTTTCTCTATTACTCCATCACCATCGCCATGAGCTTTGCATTGGAGCAAGTGATCGGCGCGCGGCTACTTACTCTGCGGGGGCGAATCAGTGTCATACGGCAGGTGCAGCGGCCCCATCTCTGCTCTGATCTCCTTCGGTTCGCAGCCTTCTTCAGCACGGCGGCGATCTACGCGGCGGCGGAGTTCGGATTCACGGAGGAGGCAACTATGCGCGTTTTGGTCGAGATTTCGGCCTTTCGACGGCTATTCCCCCCCAGGATTAGCCATATCGCCGTCGTTGTCGTCTGTACAGGGGATATCACAGTGATCCCGCCGGCGATTCACTCCGACATCTATCGGACGTTGCGCGCCTGGGCCGGGGAAGTGCGGACAGCGTGGACAAATCTCCTTCCTCGACGGAAGATACCATCGTGCCGGCGCATGACACGAAGGTCGCCAGCGATCGTGCTTCCGGAGCGTCGTCCCTTCGCGCCGCCCCAATGAGTTATCGTCGCGTCTCCTATTTCGGCCTCCCCTCCAGCATCCCCACCCTTTGGCAGTCTGCGCGGGCCCCTACTCTCTCCTACTGTATTAAGGAGAACAGTGCCCCGTTATTGAGCGAAGAGAAGTGGGACACGTGGTGGGAGGACTACATCGAGCTCGCTTTCTGTCTATTGGAGATAGAGTTCTGCTTGTCAGAAGCGGCCCCGTTCGGAGAAGGACCAAAGCACCCAGAAGACAGCGTGGAGCTTCTGATCATCCAAGCCTGGAAAACGACGGAGCAGAGCGATCTGCTGGGGTTCGTAATCGGGAAGGTGGAGGAGGGCAATCTCACCTTGATCACGGATGAGTTGCTGGTGTTTCTGACTCAGCTGGTGGATGATATGCCCCTAGACATCCTGTCACGCACTGACGAGCAGCATGGCACCCACGTGCTGTCTCGAACGCTCGAGCCGCACCTTGTATGGTCCACGTGTACGGAGATTGACGAGGACAACTGTCTCTATTCCTCCCAGGCGCTGTACTTGGAGATCGACGTTACCGATCTCACGTTTTGGGACCCGATCGCGAGGAGAAATAAGGCGCAGGACGAGGAGATAGGGGGAGCAGAGGAAGCAGAGGAAGAAGAGGAGCCATCGAGTGAAGAACGGGACGATCCAGACTACGTCCCGGAAAGAGAAACGGGGATAGCTAGCGGACCGAGCCAGCCGCGTAAAAAGAATGAAGAGGAGGAAGAGCAGAGAAAGCGGAAGCGCCAGGAGACCGCGGAGGGAAAGCGACCCACGACAAACGTTTCTCCTATCGATCCATCGATCGGTGATCCGTGGCGTGATCCAGAGCCGCCAGAAGCTATGTGTTCGAAATCGGATTCAACGGGGGTTTTGAGTTGAACGGTTCAACTCCCATTCAACTCCAGTTGCAACTCCGCGTTAAACCGAGTTGAACGTGGTACAACTCAGCCCGCGAATTGTTTTTTTGCAGGTAAAACAAAAGTGAAAAACAAATAAAAAAATATAGGGGTGTAGATTGTTTTGCTCTCTACATCCTCATATTTTTATTTTTATTTTTTTAGCATTAAAACTATTTTTAAAAATTCAAAAACAAAACCAGACTCAAAACAGATAGATTTTTTTTTCTTTTTTTTTTTGATTGATTGATTGATTGATTGATTGGTGGGGCATGGGTCGCCCCTCCCACCCCCACCGAATCAGACACACACACACACACACACACACACACACACACACACACACAAACTCTTACTTGCGCGGGGTCTGAAGGCG